GTCTAAGGGCATTTCACTCACTGTGGAGAGATTTTCTCTCACTTCCTGTTGCTTCTACAGCATAATAAAAGAATTTTTATAAACATTGGGACACAGATGGCAAAAAAACATTAAAAAGAAACCCTGACTGGGTTTTATCTGTTAGCTACTGAATCCAAAGTGAAATAAAGGTTTTGGCTTGAAGTGTATTTGAATGCTACAGTCGAAACCTCACTTTATACCTTTTTTGGCTACATCCACGCGGCCATAAAAAAATGTACCGATCATATACACTTGTATTTTTCAGGCCGAGTTCCTGCTTAAATAATCGGTGAAATGCTTGCAGTGAGATGCGCTTAGACATGTATACACAAGTATGCATAGCATTCTCCTTCCATTCCTCCTTGCTCTGGATGTTGTTTCTGCATTTTGGGGCCTTTTGTTTGCTGCTCCGTGTAACGTGTGCTAGTAATGCACTTTTCTCCTCGATTGAATGCAGGATAATGCGTCACAAACAGAAGCAGATTTTTCTTTTTTTTGTTATGGATCTGACCTATGGTGCCTGTATACCAGCCTGTGTGCATGTACGTGATCTATGGTGCCTGTATACCAGCCTGTGTGCATGTACGTGATCTATGGTGCCTGTATACCAGCCTGTGTGCATGTACGTGATCTATGGTGCCTGTATACCAGCCTGTGTGCATGTACGTGATCTATGGTGCCTGTATACGAACCTCTGTGCATGTACGTGATCTATGGTGCCTGTATACGAACCTATGTGCATGTACGTGATCTATGATGCCTGTATATGAACCTATATGCATGTACGTGATCTATGGTGCCTGTATACGAACCTGTGTGCATGTACGTGATCTATGGTGCATGTATGTGAACGTGTGTTCATGTACATGATCTATGGTGCATGTTACGAACCTGTGTGCATGTACGTGATCTATGGTGCATGTATGTGAACGTGTGTTCATGTACATGATCTATGGTGCATGTTACGAACCTGTGTGCATGTACGTGATCTATGGTGCATGTATGTGAACGTGTGTTCATGTACATGATCTATGGTGCATGTTACGAACCTGTGTGCATGTACGTGATCTATGGTGCATGTATGTGAACGTGTGTTCATGTACATGATCTATGGTGCATGTTACGAACCTGTGTGCATGTACGTGATCTATGGTGCATGTATGTGAACGTGTGTTCATGTACATGATCTATGGTGCATGTTACGAACCTGTGTGCATGTACGTGATCTATGGTGCATGTATGTGAACGTGTGTTCATGTACATGATCTATGGTGCATGTTACGAACCTGTGTGCATGTACGTGATCTATGGTGCATGTATGTGAACGTGTGTTCATGTACATGATCTATGGTGCATGTTACGAACCTGTGTGCATGTACGTGATCTATGGTGCATGTATGTGAACGTGTGTTCATGTACATGATCTATGGTGCATGTTACGAACCTGTGTGCATGTACGTGATCTATGGTGCATGTATGTGAACGTGTGTTCATGTACATGATCTATGGTGCATGTTACGAACCTGTGTGCATGTACGTGATCTATGGTGCATGTATGTGAACGTGTGTTCATGTACATGATCTATGGTGCATGTTACGAACCTGTGTGCATGTACGTGATCTATGGTGCATGTATGTGAACGTGTGTTCATGTACATGATCTATGGTGCATGTTACGAACCTGTGTGCATGTACGTGATCTATGGTGCATGTATGTGAACGTGTGTTCATGTACATGATCTATGGTGCATGTTACGAACCTGTGTGCATGTACGTGATCTATGGTGCATGTATGTGAACGTGTGTTCATGTACATGATCTATGGTGCATGTTACGAACCTGTGTGCATGTACGTGATCTATGGTGCATGTATGTGAACGTGTGTTCATGTACATGATCTATGGTGCATGTTACGAACCTGTGTGCATGTACGTGATCTATGGTGCATGTATGTGAACGTGTGTTCATGTACATGATCTATGGTGCATGTTACGAACCTGTGTGCATGTACGTGATCTATGGTGCATGTATGTGAACGTGTGTTCATGTACATGATCTATGGTGCATGTTACGAACCTGTGTGCATGTACGTGATCTATGGTGCATGTATGTGAACGTGTGTTCATGTACATGATCTATGGTGCATGTTACGAACCTGTGTGCATGTACGTGATCTATGGTGCATGTATGTGAACGTGTGTTCATGTACATGATCTATGGTGCATGTTACGAACCTGTGTGCATGTACGTGATCTATGGTGCATGTATGTGAACGTGTGTTCATGTACATGATCTATGGTGCATGTTACGAACCTGTGTGCATGTACGTGATCTATGGTGCATGTATGTGAACGTGTGTTCATGTACATGATCTATGGTGCATGTTACGAACCTGTGTGCATGTACGTGATCTATGGTGCATGTATGTGAACGTGTGTTCATGTACATGATCTATGGTGCATGTTACGAACCTGTGTGCATGTACGTGATCTATGGTGCATGTATGTGAACGTGTGTTCATGTACATGATCTATGGTGCATGTTACGAACCTGTGTGCATGTACGTGATCTATGGTGCATGTATGTGAACGTGTGTTCATGTACATGATCTATGGTGCATGTTACGAACCTGTGTGCATGTACGTGATCTATGGTGCATGTATGTGAACGTGTGTTCATGTACATGATCTATGGTGCATGTTACGAACCTGTGTGCATGTACGTGATCTATGGTGCATGTATGTGAACGTGTGTTCATGTACATGATCTATGGTGCATGTTACGAACCTGTGTGCATGTACGTGATCTATGGTGCATGTATGTGAACGTGTGTTCATGTACATGATCTATGGTGCATGTTACGAACCTGTGTGCATGTACGTGATCTATGGTGCATGTATGTGAACGTGTGTTCATGTACATGATCTATGGTGCATGTTACGAACCTGTGTGCATGTACGTGATCTATGGTGCATGTATGTGAACGTGTGTTCATGTACATGATCTATGGTGCATGTTACGAACCTGTGTGCATGTACGTGATCTATGGTGCATGTATGTGAACGTGTGTTCATGTACATGATCTATGGTGCATGTTACGAACCTGTGTGCATGTACGTGATCTATGGTGCATGTATGTGAACGTGTGTTCATGTACATGATCTATGGTGCATGTTACGAACCTGTGTGCATGTACGTGATCTATGGTGCATGTATGTGAACGTGTGTTCATGTACATGATCTATGGTGCATGTTACGAACCTGTGTGCATGTACGTGATCTATGGTGCATGTATGTGAACGTGTGTTCATGTACATGATCTATGGTGCATGTTACGAACCTGTGTGCATGTACGTGATCTATGGTGCATGTATGTGAACGTGTGTTCATGTACATGATCTATGGTGCATGTTACGAACCTGTGTGCATGTACGTGATCTATGGTGCATGTATGTGAACGTGTGTTCATGTACATGATCTATGGTGCATGTTACGAACCTGTGTGCATGTACGTGATCTATGGTGCATGTATGTGAACGTGTGTTCATGTACATGATCTATGGTGCATGTTACGAACCTGTGTGCATGTACGTGATCTATGGTGCATGTATGTGAACGTGTGTTCATGTACATGATCTATGGTGCATGTTACGAACCTGTGTGCATGTACGTGATCTATGGTGCATGTATGTGAACGTGTGTTCATGTACATGATCTATGGTGCATGTTACGAACCTGTGTGCATGTACGTGATCTATGGTGCATGTATGTGAACGTGTGTTCATGTACATGATCTATGGTGCATGTTACGAACCTGTGTGCATGTACGTGATCTATGGTGCATGTATGTGAACGTGTGTTCATGTACATGATCTATGGTGCATGTTACGAACCTGTGTGCATGTACGTGATCTATGGTGCATGTATGTGAACGTGTGTTCATGTACATGATCTATGGTGCATGTTACGAACCTGTGTGCATGTACGTGATCTATGGTGCATGTAAATGAACCTGTGTGCACGTATGTGATCTATGGTGCATGTATGTGAACGTGTGTTCATGTACATGATCTATGGTGCATGTATACGAACCTGTGTGCATGTATGTGAACTATGGTGCATGTATAGGAACCTGGGTGCATGTACGTGATCTATGGTGCATGTATAGGAACCTGTGTGCATGTATGTGATTTTTGGTGCATGTATAGGAACCTGTGTGCATATACGTGATCTCTGGTGCCTGTACTCATATAAACAAAAGCCCTGTGTTCAGATCCACAAACAAAAAAAGCTGTTTTTATGAATAAATTGCATTTTTACGGCCGTGGGCACGTAGCCTCATGCCAGTGCATTCCTGTAGAGGCTGAATGAAGGGTTCAATTCAAAAAGCCAGGAGAGCCAATATAGAAGTTGTAATGGAAGGATTTGGGTCGTAACAAGGAAGAGATGCTTAACACATTGGGGTGATATTTTGGAGTAGACAGGGCCTGGAGCAGTTGCCCACGGCAACCAATCAGTTTATATCGTCTGTTGGTTCAGCTAAGCTTTGAAAATGAGGGTAACCAATCAGCATCTCTCTTCTGTTGGTTCAGCGAAGCTTTGAAAATAAAGGCAACCAATCAGCATCTCTCTTTTGCTGGATCAGCTAAGCTTTGCAAAATGAAAGAGAAAAGCGGATTGGTTGCCATGGGCAACTGCTCCAGATTCTGCCTGCTCCAGTTTTGATAAATTCCCCTCGTTGACTTTTGTATACAAGGCGTATACCGTGTGTATGGGGATACAGCTGTTTGTGGTGTAGAGCCAACAAGTTCATCACACAGGACATCTGGCCATGACGTGTGAGGCTGTAGAGGAGGGAGTAGTGGAGTTGGGGAGGGAGGAAAGGAAGAGGTGGGAGGGGAATTCATCATTGTGATATTGAAGTGTGCAGAGAGAAGTTCCTACACTTTTACAGGTGCCAGAGACCTGACTGCAACTCCCAGCAGATCCCTCGCCATGGAACAGCGCAGAGTACTGCCCACCCAGGTACCACACACACCTTCACCTTCTCACACCTAACGGGTGCTCCACAACTGGGTACCTCAGGGGAAAACTTAGCATGCCAATAAGCTTCTTGGCATGCCAGGTATCATGGGGTCAGAGCTATGTGTATGCCAAGGGCGAGTCAGGAATGTGAGCAGATAGGAGTGGGCATCAGAGAAATCTAATGGCTGGTGGGAAGTGGCAAAACTTCCCACATATGTAACATATGCATTGGAGAATGGGTTGCTTTAGTGTGTGTGTGTGTGCGGGGGAGGGGGGTGGGGGGAGATGTGAGATGTAACAAAGAATGAAAAAGATTTAATTTATGAAAACATTTTTATTTATTATAAACAGGAAATGAGAAGAATAAACATAATTCGGGTTGTGTTTACATCTACATGTATACTTTGTAAACAATTCCACAGGCTTATAAAATGTCTACAAATACCCAGCGCCGTGCGTTGTGTATAGGAGGCCGTGTCGTGTTTATTAAAGCCGAGCTGAACTTTCGCTTTAAAACTCCCACTCCACATCTGCAACGTGCACGAAGGCACGCATTTTTCGCTCGCGTTGTAAGTTTGTAAGATGCGCTGCCGTGCAATTAAATGTTAACGGCACCCCAACATAGCTTGCTGCGCCATGTGGAAACTGCACTAGAACTCATGGTAATCTGGAGCAGTCGCCCATGGCAACCAATCAGTTTCTCTCTTCAGCTTGTTCAGTTAAGCGTTAAAATTAAAGAGAGAAGCTGATTGGTTGTCATGGGTGACTGCTCCAGATTGTGTCTGCTCCAGTTTTGATAAATTCCCTTCTATGGTGTAGGGTGGTTTAAAAGAAAAAGGTGCGGGTAGTTTTTTTTTCTACATTTAGCCCTGCTTCGTGTGTTGTAGTACAAGTGATCCCGTCGATGCCACCGAGACCACTTGTAATTAGCCTGCATTTCTGTCCCCCCCACCGCTCCCCCTTCCATGGTCTGCCCCAATCTTCGGCTGCCTCTGTCCCTGCTGGCCGCCTCCCTCCCAGCCATGGTTTTCGGGGTCCCCCGCTCTTTTTTTGGGGGGGGGGGCCGGGACCACGGCACATTCATTTTCGATAGAGAGCGGGGAGCAGAGCAGAGAACATCTGTTCTCCGCTTTGCTCCGTGTAAACAGTGAAACAGGAGAGCTGTACTCACAGCCTTCCCATTGCAGCTGTCACAGGAGAGCCAGCACAGTGCTGTAATCAATAGTGTAACAATCGCCATAGCGACCCAAGCGGCCTCTATGGGGCTTTTTGCCCCTTTCTGTAATATGAATTAAAATACAAAAATGTATAAAAATAAAAGTGTTATAAAAAAGTAAAAAATAATAAAATAAATCAATTATAAAAAAATTAAGTAAAAAAGATAATACAATAAATAAAAATGAAAAAAAGTAAAAAAAAAAGTAAGAAAAAATGCCGTCTGATTGCCATTCTCTATAGGGGGCGGGCGCATTTACATTGAGGAACCTGGCCTTGTGGTGTGGCAACAGAGAGAATAAATCCAGGCCCTGACAGCATGGCGACATTTTGGAACCCATTTGGTCCCTTTGTTTGCCTGATGAAGGGACCAAACGGGTTCAGAAACGTCGCCATGTTGTGACACCGCAGAGGTCAATATTGACTGAACTTGAGCTGGAGTGCGAGCGACTTCTTCATATTTATACTGATTTGCGGAGGCATCCGTGGTCGCTTGGCACCCACCCGATACTCGAGGGTATTAGCGGGTCAGGTGTGCGATGCTTTTCTTTTGATTATTATGCTGTGTGCCACATTATGGCAAGAGCCCCCCAACCCCCACTAGCTTAGTTCTGCTTTAAAACGGAAAAAACTAATAGTGTTCCACAAGGGATATTCTCTGCATGGAGTTTGTATGTTCTTGCGGGGTTAACATGTGTTTTATGGGTGTTGTTGTTTCCTCCTACAAAAGGGAAGCATGAATGATTTGGAGGAGCAAGCTGCCCATTTGAGCAATTCTATTAGTGTGGAGCAATGTGGAGGGATCTGATGTGGTAGACAGCTGGGAAATGTTTTCACCAATTTCCTTCCTGACGGTTGGGCAAGACCTCTCGATGAAGCAAATTTTGTGTCCTGGATCTCCATTAGGCCACAATCCTCATTTCTCAGCATATAGGCTTACTAGAAAATGTCACCTAGATGTCAACTTAAAGCAGTGGTCCCCAACCTGGGGCACGCTGACCTCCAGGGGGTATGCACCGTGTCATTAAGGGGTATGCAAAATAAATGGAGTAATGGTAAAAATAGGCAGTGGCATACCCAAGGGGGGGGGGAGTGCGGTCTGCACAGGGTACTGCCATCCGGTAGGTGCCCGCGTGGCCCAAATTGTTAATTTTTTAATGTGACTATAAACATTCAAAGTGTCACTTAGTTACTAAGTGACACGAGGCAGCAAGGGTGCAGGCCTTGGAGGCCAGGAGCAGCAGAGTGATCTGATGTTACCCTCCTCCTGCTTTAGGTCTACCTGTTGATTGCAGTCATAGCATGCTGCCATGCCACACACTGTACAAGTGCCGGCCTTTCCCCTTGAGTCTGTACAGCGACCTCCCCAAACACCGGGGCCACACTGAGCACTGCAGCACTCTGCACAACATGGCCTGATGTACTGCAAGACTTGGGGAGGGGATCCTCATGGTTTAGGGTTGCCACCTTTTCTTGAGGTGAAACCCGAACACACAGACATTTTTTGAGGAGAATGAGTGGTGGCTTATTCATATGTAAATAGCTCCGCCCATTCATATGTAAATTAGGGTTGCCACTTTTTCTTCAAGTGAAACCCGAACACTCTAGCGACGTGCAGACATTTTTTGGGGAGAATGAGCCGTGGCATGTTCATATGTAAATAGCGCCACCTTTTCATATATAAATATCACAGTTGAGACTATTTTTAGTGGGGGGCCAGTAGCCCCTATCTTAATTTTGGTTGCCCCTGTCTGCCTGACATCTTGTGTCTGGGTTTCTGTTGCCATGAAACCCAGACACGGCATTTAAAACCCGGACTGTCCAGGTGAATCCTGGACATGTGGCAACCCTAATGTAAATATCACAGTTGAGATTATTTTCAGTGGGGGGCCAGTAGCCCCTATCTTAATTTTGGTTTCTCCTGTCTGCCTGACATCTTGTGTCCGGGTTTCTGCTGCCATGAAACCTGGACACGGCATTTAAAACCCAGAGTGTCCAGGTGAATCGTGGACAGGTGGCAACCCTATCATGGTTCCTAAGCCTGATGGTGTCTAAGTGCCCAATGCCCCTTGACACACCGCTGTGTGATCACTACACTGGCAAATCATTCTGCCCGGTGCTCGCCAGAGCCTGGCACCAGGTGCCCCTCCATAAACCACCCACTGGTGGACCCTAAGGAGGAGCTTTGGGTCTGGAGAGAAGCTACCGGAGGAGAACCGAAAGTGCAACCAAGACAGACAGCGTGTTCCTGCTGGAGTCGGTGAGTAACATTACTATGTGAATCTCTGATTGAAGGCAGTAAATACGGTTTTTTATCTCATTTCTTTTTTATCCCATTATTGGCCCTTTTCTTTACAGTTACAGCATATAGTATGAAATAACGCAATTCATTTATTCTAAGCAACTCTATTGACTATCAACATTTCACTAATATGAGGGGTAAAATCTAGGAAAATAAATCGCCAAGCGGTACACAAGTAAAAAAGAAGGCTGGGGACCACTGCCTTAAAGAGTATCTAAACCCTAAAGCAAAGAAAATAAAATATCAATGTTTAGAGTAGGGATGCACCAATACCAGTTTTTCGGTATCGAGTACGAGTGCCGATATTTATTTCTCGCCACTCGCTGAGTACTGATACCGGTACTTCAGCTAGCATTACCCGTTCATGCTGTTTGGCCGACACGATCCTGATTGGCCGGGAAGCCAGTGGTGACATCAAAATGACTGAGAGTCATTTTGGTGTCACCCCCTATGAAAAGTCAGGCACTTGGTCGTTGACCGAGAGCCCGTCAGTGTCAGGAGAGAGGAGGGGACCTGGCGGCATACCTCATCCTGCCAGGTGAATGTCCCCTCCTCTCTTTGCCGGCGTCCATCACTAAGATGGCTGCCGGCAGGCGTCAATAGGACGATCGCAGATGCATGATGACGTCATCGCGCACGAGCACGGCAACGTTACGAGCATGCGCGATGACATCACGGCGGGGTGTCACCCGGTCTCCGCTCCGGGTGACACCCAGC